CTTGAGTTTTTCATCTAGAGGATATAATACAGCATTAAAAGGAACCGTTGCATTGTTTGATCTCCATGTTTGGCATGCTTTCCTTTCCTCTAACTCGTCGCCTGACTCATTCATTGCTGGGATCTCTGGAGAAATCCCATTAATCAGGGTCGATGAAATGTTGTCAAGTATCAGCTTGGATTTAGCACAGATACAGCTGAGCGGTTCTTGTTTTCTGTTAATTACGCTCCTCAACCAACTGCACAAGTACTCTACTGCCTTGTTGTAATTAGACACTTCTTATTGAGAGGTTGTGGGAGTTTTTCCAATAAAATCATGTGAACAGTATTTTTTAAGATATTTGTCCTACAAACAGTTAATTAAAGTGTTCTTATTTAGCAAAGCAACATATAATTCTGATACTGATCTTTTTTTTGTTTTTTTAGTTGGATCCGTATGGTGTCTGCAGAACCTGGAAGAGAAAATAAAAAAGGAATATTCTCCTTTTAATTTGTTTGCTATCTTTTTATTTTACACCCAGACTTAAAAATAACCCCACTGTCTTTCTATTAGCTTGCAAATCTCAATCTTTGCCAGTGTAAAAACCCAATCATCAGTGTTTCAATAAGTTGTTACATTCATGCTGATTTTGCACGGTTTCTACCTTAGTCAGTTAAATTACATCCTGCTGTCATTTTGCACATTTCTGATGTTGCTGCTATTTTTCAAAAATCCATTGCTGCATATTGGTTTTTTATTCTCCAGGTGCACAGTATTTATATTGTTAAAACACTTTACAGTACAGTATTTTATTTCTTTATTTTTATACGCTTTTCTATTGTTATTCTATATGTTATTGTTATTTTTCTAAGGTCCACATTTATGTGACCATTGTTTCTATAATCTTTTTGCTGCTGTAAACACCGGTATTCCCCCATTGTGGCACAATAAAGAGATTTTCTATTCTATTGTATTCTATTTTTTTATTAGCATTTAACATGATAGACCAACACAAAGCAGTGCACAGAGAAGTACGTGCATCAGACATCAGGTGTTCAAATGTTTTTCAACTGAGTAAATGAAAAATGAGTCATAAGATTGATAATAAACTCTATTAATTAGAATACCCCTAAATAAAGGACACCTGTGTGTAGAGGAAAATAAATCCCTGTGTACAATCACAATGCATCTATACATTTTTTTTAACTATGATATGAAAATTGTTCTGTTTATCAAATATAACCAGAGCCATTTTGCAAAAATAAATGTTCAGCTAAATGTGGTTCTATAAACTGCTGACTCAGAGAAGACTGAATATAAATGTGCACCATCTTTTCTGTGGAATATTTATCATTGTTAAAAGAAAAAGTTGGCATCTAACACAAGATTTGAGTTTGAAGCATATACCTTAAACAGCACTTCATTTAAAACTTCAAATGTGAAATATATAGAATATGTACATAATGACTAACAGGATGTGGACTGTCTGTGCTCATAAAGGTATAGGGACCGATAAGTTGATCACTGCTCCAACCACTATTCTGGGGTTTCTTTTATCCATACAAGAATAATTACAAAGTTTTAAACATCCAAAAGCCCTTTTCCACTTTAAATGCCCTTTCCATAAATAAAATCCTCCTGGATCCACATAGTAAACCAAGTTCACATTTGAGCTAATATCATTTGTACCTTTGACCCTCGTATCAAGGTTACATATTAAATACTAAAGTTTTCATTTGGATATAAAGAGACGGCGTATGGGGCGTTGAAATCTGATACAGCAGATGGGATCTAAATGTGTATTTGTTTAAGGTATCGCTCCATGATAAATGAACGTCATGGAAGTCATTTTAATCTTTCAAACTAGATTAGCTTCCTCTCGCAGTATTGGCATAAAGCCAGGTGATGGATGATGTATGAGGGGATAAAGGAAGCCAATCATGCCAAAAGAAGCACCTAAAGGATTTTGGGAAGTGTTGAGAAAAATCTGTTCCATCCTATGCAGCACAGACGGATGTGTCTGTGTGCCCTGAAATTGAACCCTCAAAGAACATCCGTCTGCATTTTATGCCGATTGGATTTCAAAATGTTCAAAGGAAACAATCTGAGTGTGTATAAAAGGATCATATAGAAATCTTCCTCTTATAATCACATGATCTTCAGCCAAAAAGAGATTAACCCCCAGTTGTTTCCCATGTTGGGATCTATGCTGTAAAAAAATAACATTTTATTCACTGTTATTTGTGTTTTATTTAATAGTATTGTTATTTTAAACCCTAACAGACTGAAAAGATATATGTACAACTTATCCCTATTAAACCTGCAGAAAAGACTGAAAAAAGAAAAAAAAAAAAAAAATGCTTTACGTATTATTAGAACAGAGAGAAATATAGTGAAAATAAGAATTATTTTGGAGGTATTAAACCAAAGGGGAACCATGATATCGAGACTGCCTGTTTTGGCATAAATATTTAAAGAAAAATGCAAAAGGGATACACCAACAAGTGTCAAAAGAGTTGGAAAATTTTATGAATGGTTTATTTTTGCCCAATGAGATAATTAACTCCTAATACCTTTTAACATCCTGGAAAAAATGTTAAGTCCAGATTACATATGAGGCGAAGTCAATAGAGATTGATGATGATGGCTTCTCTGATGAAGGTAGTTTGTCTTTGCTGGCAATATTGACACCCGCTCGTTCAGGCCGGTACTGTAATTTCTGTGGAATTTAAAATAGATTTTTTTATGAGAAAATCACTAAACATATTTATGCTCGGCTAACTTAATGCTATTATTAGAAAATGTCTGTACCTATACCTAAATTTAGTGGTTTAAAGATGCAATCTTAACTAAACGGATGACCTTCAAAGGAATTTGGTTGCTCTTGATTTTATTAGTGGTATCAGAGTAAAGGGGGCTTTATACAAAGGCATTGGATCTTTTTCACACTTGTCAACCATTCCAAGAACTGTGTATTATTTTCCCTCCACTTTGCAAAATACGCCATCCTGATAAGGGATAGTGAGGTTATTTGTTGTAAAATGAATAAAAGCTGATAAAGTTCAGGAGAGGTGCAGAACTTTACAAAGCACGGTAACTGTTTTCCACTGATTGGGTGTACCTTGATTTCATTTAGGATGCTCCATGCTACAATGCCTGTAAGAAGAAGGAATCTGGATATTTTTTTCTTGCATTTGAAAATAAAGAAGTAAAAAATTCAAATGGAATTATTCAGAAGCACTTAGGATTGTCATGTTCTGGATTTCTAGGGTGTGTGTCAAACTGGAGGCCCTCCATGGAAATATATTCAGCCTTAAAAGTCTATAAAAGGCGTATCATGTCATACAGTAGACACTTAAGATCATGAGAAGCCAATCGCGATTACTTTATCGAGGTCATTCAAGATTTGGTAATGATCAAATGTTATTATTCCAGATTCTACTAGAGTTTGAGTTCAAACATCCAAATGTTGTGGTTGAATGTAAGATTGGTGATGCCAATTTTTTTAGTATACTGATCACACATGTTCTTAGCCTCTCGCAATGATTTTGCAGCAGGTTTGTCTTTATCAAATACAATAAAAAAAGAAGTATTGAAAGATGTTTTGAGTGAAAACGATCAATTTTTGATTAATTACTTAAAGTTGTTTTCTGTTATCTTTTGAATTTTAATAGTTGTATGAAATAAATTAGACTATTTTTTATAGTAGTGTGCTTTATGTAAGTGAAATTATGAAAATATAAGTTTCATTCCTACAGCTGAGAAAAAGGCCCTTAAAAGGCATGAGGATGCAAAAAAAAAAATTAGTTTCACACCCTTGATCTTGAGCAAAAGTTTTCAAATTTTTCAGCATCTGACCCCAAATTATACCAGAGTCAACTCATGACTCAGACTCTTGACTGACTATACAAAGATTTAAACAAAATCTTTTTTTTTTTTATCCTTTTTTGTACTACTGGTAATTTATCTATATGGTCCTAATTTGCACAATAATTAGATATTTTTAATACTTCCTGTAAATAAGATATTTTCTTGCTTTTTCTTTTTTATTGTGTGTTTCTTGCCTTGCTGCTGCTGTAATATCCAAGTTAGGGATTAGTAAATTATGTCCAGTCCAATTCAGTCCAATCCAGTTTAACCATGAGTGTAATAATATTACAAGAAGCATCAACAACCAAGGTAGGTTTTGTCAACTTTCAAGTGATGCTATTATATCGTCAATCAACGATGTATTATATGTGGGCTTTAATGCAGCTGCAAATGAGTGAAACGACTGTTTTCAGACCCTCAATTAAACCTTACCTGACTCTAAAAGAGAGTTCATTAAATTTCCCATGAAACATACATTCAACCCAGGCTAATCTGGTACATTTTAATGCCTAAGATGCACAAATCTATGGAGGACCAGCTCTACCATATTTAAAGATAAATACAGAAATAAATAAATGCTCAATAAATAAATAAGCATGATAACTAACCAATGGACAGAAGTTGACCCTCTAAGACACAGCCCTCCTCATTTATGTAATGAGACAGAAATGCATACAGAACTGTAAAAACGACGGGCATAAATAAATAGCATTGAAAACATAAATAGGATAAAAAAAAAATACAAAGGAAGAATAAATCAGACAAAAATATTATAACATGCACATAAGTAAAAACTTAATAAATAAAGTTGAAGATTATAAAGGACAATAAATAAGGTATTTAAAAAAAAAAGAAAGAAAGAAAGTATATAAATAAATATATACATTTATGTCTTGCTGTGTAATTTAATTTCTACCTACATTTATTTGTTTACTGTATTTTTAAGGTTTATATAATTGTACGCTTATTTATTTATGGAGCATTTATTTATTCCTGTATTTATCTTTAAATATGGCAGAGCTGGTCCTCCATAGAATGCTGTCGTTCAGACTTCTGACACAGGTTTGTTGATAAACGCTTGTTGAGTGTCAGACTTGTTTCTTGCTGAATTAATTCACGTATCAATTAATGTTCTGCGAAACGCCTCTTTAATAGAAGTTTGGTCCTCGTCGGCCACCGTATGATGTCGTGGCGTTAGTGACAGTAGCAGAGCAACGGTTTCCTTCCATTTCCAACCTTGTTCAGTGACCACCTTTTGTTTTAAACTTCATAGACATATTGGCAAGTATTAATTTCAGAGGGTCGAAATGAGGCGCGCCGGACTGGGTGAGTAAAACAGTTGAAATGCAGGTTTATGGGTTCATGTTTAGCTTCATGCTAACTAGCTAATGTGTTTACCATTGGGGATAGCATTATCCCACTGTCTAGAACTCTTGTTTTAGAGTTGTGATTTGTGCTAATATGACTACAGGGTTAATATTAAACGTCGGTAATAACAGATGTTGTTTAATGCAGGTGAAGGAAGCTCTGGACATTATGGAGGCAGCGGCTACAGCGTGTATGAGGACGAAAATGAGCAGCTTCAGGAGGGACTGAGGGCTAAAGTGGGCGCCCTGAAAAGTGTAAATATCCACACAAAACCCAACTTTAAATATTTAGCATAACATTTATTTGCATGATAAGTTATAAACAATTTTTTGTTTTTATCAGTTGACGATAGACATTGGAGCTGAAGTGAAGTACCAGAATAAAATGTTGGAAGATATGGTGAGTTTCAGTGGCATAAACACTTCCTATAAAAGATAAAAAAAAAACAGAACTCGTTTCTGTTTTAAAATTTAAAATAATTAACAGCCTCGGCTTTATTATTATTTTTATTATAAAAATTTTCATAATTATAATTAGGGCTGCAGCTACGATTATTTTGCAAATCATTTAATCTGTCGCAGAGGCGGAGCTAGATGAGGGGCCAGGGGTGTCCATGGCCACCCTCACCCCCCCTTGCAGCGTTGTCTGTAACAACTACAGGGTGTTTGCTGGCCAGCCTCCATTTGTTAATGTTTTCAATCAACCTATTAGCTATATTTGCAGCTGTGTGACTTGAAATATTTTGAGTGCATCTTTCCTGCTCATTTGAATGTGACAGACGTCACTATAAAACTTATCGATCTCATTCCCTAGACATCGATTTTGCAAAAATGTAAAGGAATCGATTCAAAATCAATTAAATCGATTTTTTTTACCCAGCCCTAGTTTTGAGTCGTGTAGTGTAGAGGGGGTAAGGAGGGGCGATCAGCCTCTCACGACCAGCTCCCGATCAGGAATCGTTGTGGGCAAATCCAGTTGCATACTACTTGTTGGATGAAAAAAATCATTTTAGTTTGTTATACAAACCTTGAACTTTTCTCATTTTTTATGTCCTGGGTACCTTTTGCACAGTTTATTAAAGTTTCTTGCTTAAAAAAAATTACAAAAATGCAAGGCAAAAAACAGATTTAAACAAAGATAGCTTTTTTCTTTTTTTCTGCACAAATTTGAAAAAGGTTATATTCGAAATGTTTTATGCCAGCTTGAGTATTGTAAATGTTTGCATGTTAGTGTGTCGGGTCTGGCTTCCCCAAAATGCCTCCTAATCTGATTTCCCTCTGGTTGCTTTCCTTCAGACTCCCTGTGTTGCAGAATTGGTTTAAATGAAACACTCTTGACCTAAAAGGCATTTTAAAGAAAAGCTTCTCATGTCTCTGATTTTTTTTTTTAAGTCATTCGGTTCCAACAACCTGCCTGGTTTTAGTTGTGCTGCGTCTTAGCTGGTAGGCAGCACTGATCAGACCTTTGAAGTTGTTAAATTCTCTGAAATTAATGTCAAAGAAAAAAATCAGAACACCCTTGTTTTTAAATTGAACCAAACAATTAAGAAAACAAGGGTGGTCTAAGGTTTTTTTTTTATGACAATTACGGTTTTATATTTCATATTAAACTAGAAGTTGATAATTTAGAAACTAATATAGTTTTTGAATATTTTATTTTATTTGTTCACTTGACTTTTTACTTTGTTTGCTTTTGTTTTTTTTCCTCCTGATTACTGTATATATCTTATCAACAAACACGATAGCTTATTTAGATAGTTTTTAATAAATGAAATTAGTTTTACCAAATAGCTTTGGGTATGTTTGTATTCTTGCTTTGCTATCATTTGACTCATCTGGATATTGACTTTTTAAATCCCCCTTTTCTCCTCCTCTGTAGGACTCCGACTTTGACTCTACAGGCGGGCTGCTGGGGGCGACTATCGGCCGAGTCAAACGGCTGTCCAGAGGCAGCCAGACCAAACTGCTTTGCTACATGCTGCTCTTTTGCTTTTTTGTCTTCTTTGTTCTTTACTGGTATATTAAATTGAGGTGATAAGGGCTTCCGTTCGAACTTTGACCTTCAGTTCCACATCTTTAGTTCCTGTCTGATTCATCCGTGAACAAGCCCCGATCAATGATGATGAATTAGAGGAAGTGTTAAAAGTTTAAATAATTCAATATGAGTTTCTTGTCTGAGTCTCTGCAGTTGCAAAAGGGCTGATTCTTCCTGAAAGAAGTATGAACCAATTTATTAATGTAAAAAAAAATCTAAAATTATATTTTCTACACCTGAAGCCATTTGAATTCATCAGTAGTTCGGAACTGCCTAATCTATAGTAATAGAGCAAGATTTGACAGGTAACACTGTTAATAACCTTAATGCCGTTCGTTAAAACATACAATTGAATAGCTTTGGCAAAACTGACCATGCGGTGCATGTTTAAAGTCAATTTTAATTGTAAATAACATTCAGAACATGCGATTTACCATAGGTATTTATGGTAGGCTTAAAAAATTATATACTGTCATCAGTTATGTCTTTGCTTCAGGTTTAATGTAAAAAGGTTTTTGTAAATAAACAAATTTTATGTTCTGAACAGGTCTGTGTGTGAGTGTATTCCATTAGCAGATAATGGATGTCATGAGATATATATATGTCAATGATTTTCAGAGTTCTATACACATTGAGCTTCATTCTACAAAAAGGTTTCTATAAATTATTTTTCTGTTGGATAAGAAAATAAAAATTGAAGTTCTTTATTGTCTTATGAGAAAAGGCAAGAGAAATTATAAATTAATTTAAGTGAGTAGGAATTGTTTAACACAAAACATCAGAATTGCACTTTAGTGATTTAAAGATTAGCACTCTTTTAGGACGGCGTGTGATGTCGGCACTGTGGAAGCCATAGATGAGATCACTTCTTGGGCAGCGTGTCCATGTATTTGCAGATGATTCCCAGCATCACCTCATCGGCTCCTGCACCGATCGACAACAACCTGGAATCCCTGCCGGGGAAAAAAAAAAAAGTCTTAAATCCTCAAACATTTTTAGGGCAACAAATAAGTTTGTCTAGGAATTACTTTCTGTGTGAATGTGAAGAGGTTTTAAAATATCAAATCAATTTTAGTCTTCAGAAGCATAAAATGATCTATCATCCAAATCGTGCCTTTACCCATATGCTTCATCACAGAAAACACAAAGCTCTTAAATACAAATGTTTGTGCTTTAAAGCAGTTCAAATCCAATTAAAAAATACTTTATTAATCCCAAAGGGGAAATAAAATGTTTAAGTAACTGAAGTTTTTTGTTGTAGTTGGTGTTGATAGCTGTAGTCAGGAAGGTCTTTCTGTACCAGTCCATCTTGCAGCAGATCTGGAGAACCCTCTGACTGAAGACACTTGTTTACAACAAGTCCTCTGAAGAGGACGCTCACTGTGGTCCGTAATCATCTTCATTTCAGTGGGTAAATGACATAGTTTGCCAATGGAATGAGTATTTTTACTCTTAAGATAATTCGATATGATGCACTTGAAATAAGAATGCAATTGTGTTTTCTTATTTTAAGTGTAAATTCACTTGTTCCATTGGAAAAATGTCTCTTATCTCCTCAATCCAAGAACAAATGCACTTATTTTAAGAAAAAATTACTTTACATTTCGATTTTTTCCAGTGAGCCGGCCTTCGTTTCATCTTATTGAGCTTTTTCAAATAATTTGCTCTGATGTCGTTACCTCAGCAGACGATGGCAGTAGAGATCAATCTCCACAACAGACTTATTGAAAGATATGCAGCATTTTACTGCAAACACTGAAGAATCTAAGCTTCCATAAGAAATACAATCTGCTCTGTCCCTTGTTGACTTCACAGTTGCATCTCTAGTTGAGTTTGTTAAATCTCTGTCTACTCATATGTTTGACAACCAGGCAGAAAGACACTGGAGTCCAGGATATGATCCTGCTGCCATGCTTCAGTAAAACGGAATACTGCATTGCTGGTATTCTGTCTGGGTTCTTTCTCAGGGTGGAAGTTCTTCCTAAGTGCTTCCTAAAAATCTCACATTGTCCATAATTATTGATGGAAGAAGATGGCTTGAAATATCTTGTTCCTCTCTCTTCTTCTTGCTCCTGCCCTGCATCCCTTGCGCCTCTTTTTCAACTTAACTGGTACTTGCAGAAATATTAAGGTATTATAAAACTTTAGAGATGTTAATGAGCTGCTCCTGGGTGTTAAAAAACAAAACAAAAAACTTGCTATGGTTGCTGTAGAAAAGAAGCAAAAATCTTTCCCGCTGCAAAGCATCCAACACCAGAGGAAAAACATTGACAAAAAACTCTGATCCACAAACGGAGGTACTTCTATCCTAAAAAATGAGCTTTACCAATTTTTGTTAATAGCTTTTTTTTTCTTGTTTGGAATGACGCTACGGCAATAAAATAGTTTCAGTATCTTTATCGTTTACCAGAATTCAGACAAGACCGTGTGGATGTCTTGTTCAGGTTATACCGACTCAAGTTTCTTCAAAGGTATCAAAACCGTTAAAGTCAACAGAAACATAAATTTGAAGGAAAAACAGTCATTGCTGTCTTAGCCATTTCAGTCTAACCTGTAAAATCTGCTGACTGGTACATCACTGGTGAAGCCCATCCCTCCCCAATACTGCAGACAGCTGTCGCTCAGTTCTCTCGCAAGGCGGCCGCCCTTTAACTTGGCCATAGACGCCAGCTTGGTGACATCGTTGCCTTTAATGTACATTGCTGCAGAGGAAAAAAAATGTTCAGAATTAAAAAAAAACAACAAAAAAGTGGAAGAGGATGAGACATTAAACAAACATGCTTTAGATTCAGCGTGAACAGCGGCCCACCAACCCCCCTTCAGGCTTTATTCTAGGGAACCTCCAAAAGGCTGAGTAAGCTGTGTTCTTCCCTCTTTCATTATTTGTTTGATTGGGTGCATAATTATGCAACGTCTGCCAAACAGGTGCAGAGGCTTGATTCATGAAAGGCGCTCCGTAAACTGGTACCAATCTGATGAATTCATTCTAAGCTTCAGGCTACTGGTGGAATAAACCTGGACTTCTGCCCGACATAAATCCAAGCTGCAATGTGAAAAGTGCCACATATTTATTAAAATAATGAAGGAGAAGGGAAAAGAAGCAGAGGATGGGGAACCGCACTCCAACTATGTGTCCCCATTTTGATTGATTGAATACTGAATTTAAAATAGAGAATTTTTTTCTTGCATCTTTGCTTCAATCTGCCAGCTCTACATACATGCTGGTTTAATATAATTTCTGTCTCACTGATTACATTAACATTCAGTTTCTTAGACAGTTTACAGATAAAAAAAAAAATGAAAATCAGGGTTTTACTACAGGATTAAATCATTGCTATTTTCTAATCTATACATCTATAGGGAAGACTGATAACAGTTTGATCAGGTCTAAAATCAGAAAAGTCATCTACTCTTTCAGCAATCTGTGCTTCCTCATTGATTATTTATGGATTGTTTGTCCAGAGGATGATGAGAGATCAGGGAGCCAACAATGGAGGAATGCTAAAAGCTGCTATTGAATGATCCTGACTTTTCATTACACCTCAGCAGAGTCACAGGTTGATTATTACCTCTATATCGCGCAGCACTGATGATGCAATTCATGCAAAAGAAAGCCTGGCCAAGAAATTTGTATTCTCTACAGAGGGTGGGAATACTTTTCATTACCTGAGATAATCTGTGTTAAGTCCTTTTAAAATGCTCTTATACTGTGTACTATTTTAAATTCAGCAGAGAGAAACTTAACCTAACATTATCTGCAAGCCATATAATTATAATAGACAGAAATGAATGCTTCAAACATATACCGGTCTATGCAAAAATAATATAGATCAGTTAAAGACGCAACCAGAATCTATGAAAACACAGAAAAAAGAATCTTATTAAGCAAGTTTATGATAAAGAATTAGAAAAAATAGATACTGGCTTATTTTTTTTGCAGAAACAAAAACGTTTCCATAATGAGTCTTTATCTGACAGCCAATCATTGTCCTGGACTTACTATACTATTCTTTTTAACAAGAAATGAATACATTTTAACTGCCTTTATTTACTTATAATGAAACTGAATTTAAAGTTTATAAAATACATGTGGAATATAAAAAAAGATCAGTTTAACAAACTAAATACGGTGATTGAACTACTCAGAGACAACAACACTTCCTAAAAAAATATTATTTTATTATTTTAGGTTATCATTTCATCTTGATTTGTTTTCTTACAGAAATGATGTAAAATCACTTTACTATATTGTTCAAACATTAAAAATCAAAACATGTTGGCACGTTGTGTTATTCTCATTGAATGCAACAATTAGATCAAATGTTTCTTTGTCCTAATTTCAAAATATAATCAGTCTAAAGCACACTGCCATCAGTGTGTTGATTGTTTGGAAATGTTCTCCATATTTTGTTTTGTTAGCCTAACATACTTGATTTAAACTACAGACATTCCTCTCTCACCCATCTGTCACAGCCGTCATGATGACGTGTATTGGCTGATTTGCACCCACTTTAAAGCAACATGAAGGAGAGAAGAGAAAACAGCATATTTTGTTTGTTTTGTTTCATAAATAAATATTAGACCCCTCTTTTTCATTTTTACCTAATTTCTAAAAGTTGCTCCTAACCAGGTTTCAGAGAGATATGTTGGGATGTAGCTTAGAGCCTCCACCTCTCATTGACCTCTTATTTTTGCCATCTCGATAAAGCGCCTACCTGTAGAACGGTAGAGGAGCGAGCGCAGAAGCTCAACCTCTGTCTGTAGCTCGGCCAGCCTAAAGTGAACAGCCTGGTGATAGAGCACTGGCTGCTTGAAGATCTTCCTCTGCCGTGTGTAATTGATGGTTTCCTGGATGATGTTGTCCATCGTGGTCACAACTGGAGACAAGAAAAAAGAAAGGCGATATCAATCTTCATTATTATCCCTCATCACCAACATGAGTGTCATGGTTACTTCAGGCCCTTAAGGATTAATTTGAAATTATTTGACTGAAAGCGACTTGAAAAAGGAACTGATTGGAAAATGTTTTTCTTTTAGAATCTAGAAATTCACAAATTGTTTAAAATTATATTTTCAGTATTATTACTAGCAGAGCACCGAAACAGGTATATTTTTTAAGCGGCTAAGGTCAGGGCCAATTTGATTGGATGTTTATCTGGGTTATTTCCAAAAGCAGTTTTGAGGTGTTTTAGGAATCAGTAGCTGCGTTTCCATTAACAATTAAATTACACAATTTATAATTACAAAAATAATTTGCTTGTTGGAAACATTATGCTTTGAATGGGTGTTTTTTCGGTTGTATCGATATTATTATATTTTGCAAAACTGAAATGGAAACACTTTTTTAGAATCATAGGGGTCAAGTCATCTGCAACTGGACCTTTCTTCCTTGTAAAAATGTGTAGAAGAAAACTGGATGCAGCCAAAGGAAATTTGCATCCATGAGTAGATTGAGCCCCTCCTTGAACCGCCACCTTTACGTGGAGGAAGGGTTTCAGTGAATGATCCCAGAGGCTATGTTGTTACAGGGATTAAATGCCCTGGTAGGGTCTCCCAAGGCAAACAGGCTCTGGGTGATGAGTCAGACAAAGAGTAGTAAAAAAGCCTCAATGAAGACAAAGAAATAAAGGCACTTGAAGTCGCCCAATACAGTGGAGCTTGGACCCAACCCTGGGGCCATGCCTGTGATTCGTCATCGAGTGCCTGGTGGTCGGGTTCTTTCTTGTGGGAACCAAACAGGCCCAGCCTGAAGGAGCGACGCAAGGCCAGGTGGAACCGTGAGGGACCGGTAGAGGGGATTGGTCAGCGGTCAGAGTCCCAACAGGACTTGCTTGAGGGGCTGTGTCTCTTGGGGCCTGTTAGCACTCTTGGGGCCTGTTAGCACATTGGGCTTCCGATGTCTTTATCGAGGTTTAATCTGGTATTTTGTGTTTTTATTTTATATACTCTAATAATTCCAGAGGGAAATTACTTCTCTGCATTTAACCCACTAGTGGGCTTCCATTGTGCGGCGCCCGGGGAGCAGTGTGGGGTTAAGGGTCTTGCTCAGGGACCCAAAGTGGCAGCCTGTGGGACTCACAACCTCAGGATTCAAAGCCCTATGCCCCTAACCACTAGGCCGCCACTCCCCCTGTAAAGTTGTGGTCTGCCCCTGGAGCTTGGCACCTTGCTTCCCTGGCAGAAGGTGGAGCCTATCGGGGTCAGTAGTGGAGCTGGCTCCCTGGGAGTTCTTTGCTTCCAAAATCGTATGTTTACCCTAACCCGCTTTATCACACCACCACACACATTGGGAAGAGATCATCATCATCATGACTGGCTGGGGGCAGGTTGGGCTCTTTGGTGGGTTGGCTACCTGCTCTGGTGTCTGTGGAGGGGGGTGTGTGGGACAGGCCGCTGGAAGAGCCCATGAGCTCCCTGCCATAGCCTTGTGGCCTCTGGGGTCGGGCCCATCAGGGACCAGGCCTCTTTGGGGTTTGGGCTCCGGGCGCCCCATAGGGCGAGTCTGCGGCCGCCCACACCTGCTATTAAGCGTATTGCCCGGAAGCTTTATAAATCCTTTATACGTGAGCATGCCCATGCATACATACTACAGGAGTTTGGCTCCAGGTGCTCATGGATACATACCGATACTAAATACTAAACTACAGCTAGAGACAAATACCACCCTGAAAAACACTGTGTAATCACCATAGGTTCTGTCTTCCACACACATGGATATCTCAGGGATTCCCACTGCTCTTTAAGCTTTTTTTTATGTTTATTTTTGTTATCTGATGTCTTCTCCTAGGAGTTACTGTATATCTTCTGTATTGTCCATTTCTGCTGTTTGGTTTTACTCACTCATTTTTCATGTGCTCTATCCTGTCTCCATCTCCTTCTCTCTCCCCTTAGTTCTAATATCCTCCTTCTTTCTCATCTCTGTGCCCGCTGTATTCTATTTTACTCCCTAAATAATTTTCAAAGAAGTTTCATATACATGTACCAAGCAGAACCTTATGGCAACAGTCATAATGCTGCTTGTGAAAAAAAAATATATATATATCTTGGGCTATCATCTAGCCACCTGTACATATATGTATATCTATACATGTACAGTATGTGTATATATATATCTATCTATAAATATATATAGATAGATATACCCGTGTGTGTGTTTGTATTTTTTCCTTTTCCAACACAGGGTGCCTTTCATTTTAAGTGCTCCTCAAAAAGAAAGTGAAAAGAAAACTAATGATTACAACCCAAATATAGAATGGCATTCATGCTGATGAGAAAATCTAAACCTTTCTGCTTGTTCTGCAGGCCAGCAAGTTGACCAAGTTTTCGGACAGATGTATGAGCAACCATCCATTTCCTTAAAGACCTTTAGCTGCACTTAATTTCGAAAAGGCTTCTAAGAAACCCTGCCAAGAAAACGTTGAGTAAGACTTGTTTCACAAAATCAAAGTATTTCCCGAAATATTATATGCTGAAACTGTGTGACCCAAACTCCCTATTATGGAAAACGTAGCTAAAACCCAAATAAATACCAAAGCGGATAATGGAACAAAGGAAAAACAGGGAACAAAACAGGAGAGAGATTAAATGTTTTGATTGGATTTTATTTGGGAAAAGAGAGAGGGATAAGGATTGCTTCACTCACCATTGGCCACGGCCCAGAGCCTCTCTTCCTGGAACTGGAGCATCTGATAGGTGAAGCCCATTCCTTCTTGACCGATGATGTTCTGACAGGGAACACGGACGTCATCGAAGAAAACTTCTGCTGTATCTGATGACCACATACCGATTTTACTAATCTTCCGGGCAACATGTACTCCTTTTTGGGAAAAGATAGGAAACACAATTAATATGTACTCCAAACATATTACGTACAGAGCTAAAAATGAGACGAGTTTCAGTTTGCAGTGTTGTTCATACCAGAATTATCAAGAAATTCCTAAAATGAATGCATATATGATATCTCTGACCCTACCTGGCAGGTTCATGGGTAAACAAATGAGAGATTTGTTCTTGTGTGGGGGTCCATCGCTGGTATTGGCGAGAAGACACATCCAGTCAGCCTGGGTGCCATTGGTTGTCCACATCTTTCCACCATTTATCACATATTCATCCCCTTTTTTCACTGCCTTGGTCTTAATACCTGGTTTGAAGAACAACTGAGTGAGCATCAGTTTGCAAAAATGATAAAGGGGGATAAAAAGCAAAGCAATACCAAGTTTGGAACTAAATCTAAGGACAAGTAAAGACACGTAGAGCACAAAATAAAACATATGGAAGAGAAAAAAGATGAATTATCTAAAATATCCAAATCAAACCCAAAGTAGCAGCTCGTAAAAATAATCAGAAAAAACAATGAAGACTTTTTTTTTTTGCAGGATGTTATGTTTGTTAAATATTTAAGTTGCCAGGCTTGTATCTCAGTCTATCTAATTATGTTTCTCACATCTTTCGTTGTCATTCACATTAAGAAAGGGATTGCATTGGCTGTTGTAGTATTCAGTCTATGTGTGTCATATAACCTCCTCTGCATGCTGTACTCCCTCAGACAGATTTCTAGGGAGATAAACTGTTAAAACTGTGGCTGTTGAAGCTATTGATGCTAAAAGCAAAAAGTGAAAGAGTTACTTTCATTTAAATTCTGTCTAAACATAGTGAAACTGCCATGAAATAATAACAAGCTGAATGATAAAAAAAAAATGAGTAAGAATGCAAACTTAGCTTAGCTTCAAGTGAAAGAAATCAACAGCAGGAATAACTTTATTTGACTAGGTGCAAAACTGTAGCCATAGAAAATTAATGTAGGGATACAATATCTGTTACTTTCAAGATAAATAGAAGGAAGAAGCTGCATAATCACCATGTATACTTGACATTGTCATTCACTACACACTTTAGTGCTATTTAATTTTCATATAGAACACTGATTTTACTGAAGTATTGAACTAGGAGTGTGGGCTTCCAAACTCTCATTCTCTATTGCTCCTCATATTTGCTATTAGCGAAACATTTTGATCATTATATTGCAACAGGTTAATACAACATATGAGGGTGAATACATACTTGAGACATCAGAGCCAGCTCCGACCTCACTCACACCCAGACAGGCCACTTTCTCACCCATGATGGAGGGCAAAAGGAACTCCTTCTTAAGCTCTTCTGAACCAAACCTGTACAGGTATAGAGACACGTGCAGAAATGCATGAAAACATGATAGGATTATATGCGTTTTCCACTTGAAATATGCTGACCTAACAACTGCTTCAAACTTTGTTGTGTAACTGTGGGGTAAGACTGTTCCTCATATTGCCATTAGTGAAACATTTTGATGTTTCTCGTAAGATGCATCTTGTAAGATGCAGTTACGAGACCGCTTCCACAGTTTAAAGCAATTGTAGGTCCAGAGGGATATGAATGGGGTCTCCTGAGGCATCACTCCCTCCAGTTTGAGCACTTTCTCTTCATATATGAACCCTGCAGCTGTGGATTACTTCCATGTCTTAATTAAACTCCTGAGACTTTAATTGTCTATTTCCCTGAATTATATTATGTGTTAACAGCAGCTGTGTCCTGGCAGGGACACCTCTCTCAGTGAGCTGACATGCTTGTTTGTCCGATAACAGACAAAGATAATGGGTAAAACAGGTGACTTCTTATTTATTTACACTTACATTTTTTGCTGCCGGCAACATACTATTTACATAGACGTGAATACTGTTATTATGCAAACCAATCAAAGACACATATCTGACAGTTAAAACCTCTCCTTAAACCTTTCATTAATTTAAAGGTCCGTTATTAAATGCATGTTTAATCTTCAATAGCTCTATGCTCTATAGGTAGATTGATCACATGATGCACTTTGGACTGGTTGTGTTGGATAGGATGCACCTAGTATCAGTAGGTGTGTGTCTTCATACTGATAAAAACATTAAAGCGTCATAAACAGAGAGATGTGAGAGAAGTATAACCTGTATGGATGAGATGCTTATGCTAGGGGTGTCCTGATTCAACTTTTTAATTTCTGATACAATGCAGCTTTGATTATTGACTGATACAGATATTGAGCTGAGACAATATCAGCATGAATCATACATACTTATTTTATAGTGTGAAATGGTTAAGAAAAAGGCTTAAACAAGTAGTTTTTGGAAACAGAGAACAATGCCCAACAAGATCAGGTATAAGAACGACTACGTAATCATTTCTTATGTTTCTATGAGCTTTCTAATATTAGATATTTTAGAGGAAGGCCAATATAATCCGATATTCTTATCTTTGGCTGATATCAGACCAATTTCTGTTATCAATACCAGAACAGGACATCCCTAGATTATGTATTTTACACCAATGTAAAAAATCCAACATAATAAATTTAAAGCATAGTGGGGGTCTTTCTGTTTTATAACTTTGATGTCCTGGACTTCCTTACAAATTCAGTAACATACGAACACGAAGAAAAACATTAATGTGCAAGTAGGGCTGCAACTAACGATTATTTTGTAAATTGGCTAATTTTTGGATTATTTCTTCAATTAATAATCTAATAGCCAAAGATTTCTCAAAGAGGATTTCTTTCATTATTAAACC